GTGGAGGTCCTGCAACTCGGCCAAGAACCTCCTGGAGCGGTCCGTCCCGGCTGACTGCTCCTCCCAGCAGATGTCCGGGTAATTAAAATCGCCCATGACAACTACATCCCTTGCTTTTAGTGTCTCCGCAAGCTGGCCTGAAAATTCCCTGTCCAGCTCCTCCTCCTGATTGGGGGGTCTGTAATAGACCCCCACCGTCAAATCCCTCTCGCCTTGCCCCCCCTGGATCTTGACCCAGAGCACTTCAGCTCGCCCTTCCCCTGACCCCATACTGCTGGCAGAGGATGTGTAGTGCTCCTTGACATAAAGTCCCACCCCCCCCCCTGATACCCACAGGCATGCCAGAATAAGGAACATGGCTTTAAGTGAAGAGGTAATGTACAGGAAGAAAAAGTAACTATAGTATACTACATACAAGTAACTTTTTATATGTGGTTACATGTAGTTACCTGAAAGTCTGACCAAACTTATAGAAGTGATGCCACCAAATTTAATATTCACTTGTGCAAATACCTACAATGCAAATATCCAAATGACAAAACCAGCATGCACATGCTGATTAGGTTCTCAGAGCATATACTTGAGTTTATACCATTCTAGGCCCTTGGTGCTACTCAGGGAGAGCTTTAATGATACCTGTAGCAGTGCTAAGCACACACGGTAACAGAGAAGAGGCATAAACTTAGCTTGCTAGGCATCTTTTCACTAATCACTAGTTTAGGTTGATTACAAGTCTGCGCGAGATACACAGTGAGTCAACAGCCACTATAGCTCCATTCTTATACTAGTTTTGGGTTACAGAAGGACTTTACCAAGTGTCAAAACCAGCAGCATAGGGACCTAGCCAGGTGCCCGGTACACAGGGGCAGCAGTGACTTCCAGTTGCTGCTGCAGTTTACAATTGCAATCACATAGCTGTCAACAACCACTTTTTTTGCTTGTCCTTCCCCTGTCCCACCCATCCCACCCCAAGTCAGCGCCCAGGCTGGTTGCCATGTTTGCTCTGCCCGACTTATGCCACTGCCCAAAACCACAGTCTTGCTGATCGATTACACTGATGCTGTGAAGGTGCAGAAAACTGCCCTTTGGAGGCTGGTACCAACCCATCTTGACCTCATCAAGAAAGATGTCCTGAGTGTCCTCAGTCTGTTCTTATCCTTATGGGATGGTGTCCAATACTGCTTAATTCAGTAGTTCAGCTCTTTTCTGAACTTAGGGGACTTTCAGACACTAAGCCCTTCCTACCATCTTAAGTAAGCCTAAGCCTCTAGCTCAGCTAACACATGGGTCTAGCCAAGCTTTGCTTAGTACAACTCCCAGTCCCAGGGACATACTGGAGTTCACTTGTCTCCGCCCACCCCTTTTCTTGCCACTAATCCAAAGAAACAGAGGTGTCTCAGGGCTCCTCCAACTTGTACTGAATGCCCCCCGCCTTTTCTGCCTTCTCTATCCCGCCTGTACAGCCTATAGCCCCTAATGTTAACTGCCCAGTCATGGGATGAGTCCCACCATGTCTCTGTTAACCCTACGACATCTGGATTTGAACTAGCTATTCTGAGGGCGAGTTCCTCCTGTTTGTTCCCCATGCTACGAGCATTGGTGTACAGGCATTTAAGGCCTTGCAAGACTGTGTGCCCCCCCACCCCCTGATTAGCCAGACCATCAGGACCCCTGTTACTTACCTTTGCACCCCTTGCCCTGATGGCAAGACCCCCATTACTTACCTTTGCACCCCTTGCCCTGATGGCAAGACCCCCATTACTTACCTTTGCACCCCTTGCCCTGATGGCAAGACCCCCATTACTTACCTTTGCACCCCTTGCCCTGATGGCAAGACCCCCATTACTTACCTTTGCACCCCTTGCCCTGATGGCAAGACCCCCATTACTTACCTTTGCACCCCTTGCCCTGATGGCGTCTCCTCGTCTTCCTGCAGCCCCCTCCCCCGGCGAGTCTAGTTTAAAGCTCGCCGTACGAGATCAGCCAACCTGGAAGAGAAGATACGCTTGCCATTAGGGGAGAGATGAAGCCCATCCCGCCCCAGCAATCCCCCCTCCCGAAAGCATGGGTCGTTGTCAAGGAACCCAAGGCCTGCCCGGCGGCACCAGCTGCGTAAGCGCTGGTTGACCTCACCAATGCAGGTCCCATGCCTCTGTCCCCGCCCCCTCACCGGAAGGAGAGAGGAAAAAACCACCTGCGCCCCCGTCTCCTTCAGCCTGGTCCCCAGAGCCTCGAAGTCCCTCATAATACGGTCAGGGTTGCCTCTTGCCGCGTCGTTTGTACCCACATGGACGACAACCATGGGGTACCGGTCTGCAGGCCGGATGCAGCCCGGGATCCTCTCCGTGATGTCCCTGACCCGAGCCCCAGGCATGACGCAGACCTGCCGTGACATGGGGTCGGGCCTGCAGATCGGACCTTCCAGCCCTCGCAGCAGGGAGTCCCCGATGACTAGGACCTGGCGTTTTTTCCTCCTGGTGTTGTCTCTCCTCCCAGTCTCTGTCTTGCGTGGAGCGGCATCGTCCCCTGCAGGTCCCAGATGCTACATCTGGCAGAGTGGTCCTGCAATACACATTTGTTTAGGAAACTTTAAGAGACACCTCCACATATATGTAGGTACTGCTTTGGAATCTGAGTGAGAATGTGTTTGAAGACAGTTAATTGAAGGGGAAAAATAGGTTATTTACCACAATGAGTAGCAATGACATTACTGTTCAGGGAACTGAAAGAGTCAGTTGACTTAATAGCTCATTGTTCTTCACTCCACAGCTGTTAATGATCATGTATCCTTTTCAGTGGTCGTCTTGATCCACTAATCGAGATAGTCTTTCTCTTTTGATGATTTTGGAGACTCTTTAGCTCTTTTCAGACTCATGGATTCCCTCAGTGGGACCCAGTCTTCAGCAGCAGCCAGGGTTTCAGGTTTAGTTAAGCAGGAAACACAGGGTAAGTCAGCTGAAGATTGAGTCTGTCCCCTCTCTATTAGTTATACCTCTGGAAAGATCTTTTTTTCTTCATTCTGCCTTCCCAAAAGCAAGGTGAACGTTTTATTTTGGGGCATGTGGTATATAAGAAAATAAATTGTGAACTCTGATTACAGGTAAATTACCTGGTTTTCTCTTTGATCTGCATTAAGTTTTTTAATTTTTAGATTGAATTTATCTTGGAGATAGCTATTGGTTTTGTTTTCTTTGGCATGACAACAGGAATATCTCAGAATTTTGAGAATGTTTACAATAATTTCCTCTCTACCTTAAATCATTTTAAAGGGCATTCAGTTTAATAGTGTTTAGTTTTCTCCCCTGATCCTTAAAAACATTTTATATTTATGTACTAAAGTTGGGGGATGTAGATCTACTTAAACCTGTTTAAAGAAAATATTTTTTTTATAAGGAAGTCTTGTATTAATTTGTAAAATGACTACTAAATGTGTTCATTTAATCAGAGATGTGATTAAGAATGACATTACTCTCTAACATGTATCCTTTTTTCTCATTCTGCAAACTAAACATTATGAATGGCATTCTCAAAGGTTTACGAATGAGAAAACACATTTTTTTAGCAAAATAATTTGGCACAAAGACTTTAATTTACTTTTTGAATTATGTAAAAGAATCTCTTTGTGGCATCTTAATTTGAGGTCATGAATTCAGTACACAGTAATTAACTGAGCCTTAAAATACTACAGTAAAGTAGGCGAGTATTAAACTGTTTTGAGGGAAAACTGAGGAAGGGTGAGACTGACTTGTTTAAGTTCAGTGAATTAGTGCAGTTCAACTTGAAGCTTACTTGAAGCTATTTTTGACCACTAGACTACATTGACCTTGTTGTAAATTAAATCCCAGCTGAAACGGGCTGTTTTTAGTTGTCATTTAAAGAATTTGTTTTCTGTAGTAAATATACCATGTGCTTGAAGTTAAATGCATGTTTAAGTACTTTCTTGGAGGGGGAACCAAGAGTTGCTCTATATGGAAGAATTAATTGATATCACAAATGGCCTATATGGCCTATAACACTCTTGCATCTTCTTAAACTAATAAATACTGTAGATGATTGCTGCTTCCAAATAAAGATGAAAGATTTTTAAAAAGAGAAATGATTTATCTTCTTTAAAAGGAATGCTTAGTTTATGAGCAGAAGATAGTTTAGAAGGCAGAAAACAGTGGATTAAAACATTCTGGGTTATGTTTTAAAAGGGAGTTACGCGTATAACCTCAGTGAATTATGAGATGTGTATTTTATCTCCCATAAATCCCTTAAATTGTGGTCTTATAATTATGTTTTGAATTTGCTATTGGAGATAATTTTACTAAAACATCTAGAGCTGCAGCAGTCAAGAGTTGTGGTGGTAATTTTTTGGTTTTATATGGCAGACCTGTTTTGAATCCAGGTTTTACAGTACTGGTTTTGGAGCAGTTGGAGACAGTGGGCACAACTACAGTTAGCAGTTAGCTCTGCAGTAAAGCATCTCATGTGTCCTTATTTCTAAAGTGATGTGGATGAGAGTCTCGGTGTATTCAAATATTTCTGCCATTACTTTGGTTGGTAGAGAAATATTTGATTGATTGCTTGATTTTTTTTTTTTTTTTTTTTTTTGGTGGCTTTATATACACCTGATTCTTTTTGTAGGAAATCATGTTAGTTTTCCCAGACTAGAACAATTTAAAGATGTTTGTACCATGTGGGGGTAGTAAATTCAGAGATTTCAAGTATATATGCTTGAAACATTGTATTTTAAAAACCTATCTTGATTTTATAGATCTCTTTATTACAAAAAGACTTTCAACATTTTTAACTATTCTGCCAATGTTTAACAAAAAGTAGTAGAGCTGAGGGCAGTGGTCATAGTTATATCTATTTTTTTAGCTTCAAGCATTATTCCACCTTGCATTTTCCAGTTACTTTGATACTTTGGCCTGTGACAAGTGCTTGCTGTACTACTAATGAAATGCTTTTCTTCAAATTATGACTAATGGTTTCTATTTTCCTTTTTTGGGCAGTTGACAATTTCACTGACTGCTGGACCAGAGGAGGCATTTTGTTCTCTGGGAGTCCGTCATGCAATTATATCCACTTAATGCTACCATGGGGAAGGTAAGCTGTTTTTCAGATTTATTTATTTATTTATTCTTAATATATGACATTTGAAAATTGATAGTGAATGAATTGTGATTATTAACAATTTGGCATGCATGTTCAAATATACAGTCATAAAATACTTTGAAATAGAACTTTTGCTATGTGAAAGTTGCATATAATTTATAATTATACCCTGTGCACAAAAATACTTTAAAAAAAAGCATATTCTGTAAATATGCATATCCTATATACAAAGAACCCTGTTACTGATTTTAGGTAACCATAGTTAACATCTGATTGGCATTTTAATGGAAATTAGCATGTCATACTTTGGCATGTAATTATTGCGTAGGATTAAAGAAACAATCTTAGTGTCCTAAGCAAAATAGTGACATTTTTTGTTACTTTTAACAATAAGTTATTGTTTCCAGGGACCTGTATTGTTGAACAGAATGCTAAGGACTTTTGCTGGACATCCTTTCTAAATACAGAGCATTACATAATCAAATGTGCATGTTGGGCAGAAGCCCATCATTGTGGATTGGTTCTCAACCTTTTTGAGGCTTGAGCAGGGCTGTCCATAGGGATGGTTGAATTGGGGTGACCACCACGGGACCCGTGCTTTGAGGGCCCCACAGAGCTGGGCGGAGCACATCTGGCTGCCGAATCCAGTGTGTGCGGCTACTTGGCAACCCCTCTCCTCTCTCTGCTGTCAAATCTGCCACCGGTTTTCTTGCGTCCGGGGGCGGGCCCCCACGCAGGCTGATTTGCCTCAGGCCTTGCACCCTGCTCCAGTCAGCTTTGGGCTTGAGGCACCCTCTGTTAAAATCAAGGCACCACAGCTCTTAGTTTCACTCATTTCTTGACTATGGGAATATAATAGAGCAATTTTTCTATTGCAAAGAACTCAGAAAGATTACATCAGGTTAGAATGTTTTAACACTATGGATCACTTTTTGAAATCTGCATTTATCTTGAGAATCATGTTTTGCCCATCTAACAGGGCATGATTCTGTGATGCCCTTGAAAGTATCTCAAGGCATCTCAAAGTGTCATGGTATCCTAGTTGAGAATCACTGGGCTAGAGTTGGAAAGGGTAAAAGTAGGTCTTTTAGAGAATCACAGAAATAACTTGAGGATATTTTCTACCAAGTCAGTTGGACTATTTAAGCTCAGTGTGTAATCTATGACATTCTTAGGGTACAGAGGAATTTAAAAGTCTGAGGGAAGATACTCTCAATAAATAGGATTGTTATGGAGGAGGACAATTTTACACATTGCTTTCCCTCAGGTCTTTTCTGCTGTCATCAGCAAGGATCCCAGTTTCCCATTTTCTGTGGAAAAATGTGGATTTTCTCTTTTAACAGAGGAAAATGCAGGTTTTCTCCTTTAAAGGAGAAAATCATGGATGTCTCCTTTAAAAGAGAAAAATGTGGGAAACCATAGGTTTCCCTTTGCAGGCTGTCAGCTTACCAGCCTGCAAGGCCCCTTTGCACACAAACATGCATGTGGCCAGCAATACAGCCAGGCAGGGCTGTGGAGAGCAGCTTCTGCAGGTCTCTCCAGGTAAGTTTATGGGGGGGGTGGGAGGGGAGGCAGCACAGGTGATGCAGCAGGGGGCTAAGCCAATGAAGTGGGGTGGAACACATGCTCCCCCAAGATTTCTGCACCCACAACAGAATGCAGGGCTGCAGCTGGGCCAGGCCAGCTCTGGGCAGGAGCTGCCTCCATGGGCCAGCGGGTGGGACCTGGCAGGGGAGTGATTGCCATGCTACCATGGCCAAGGTGAGGTGCCCTCTGCCTGCCCAGCAGCAGCAGGGGCAAACTCCATGCCGCAGTCATTGTGCCTCACCTTGTTGGCCAGGGCAATGCAGCACTCCCTCCTGTGCCTGGTCCCACCTGCTGTGCTGTGGAGGCAGCTGCTGCTCGGAGATGGTCCAGCCCAGGCTACAGCCCTGTTGTGGATGCAGAAATCTTGGGGAGCATGCATCTCTCCTGCCCCCCCATCATGTCACTCATGTGTGGCATGTACACTCCCCTCCCCGCCCCCCCTGCTCAACTCTTTCTCTCACACTGGGGGCAGGGAGCTATGGGTTGGGAGTGAGAGGAACTGGCGGGGCTGTGGCTTGGAAGTGAGGGGGGTAATAGCATGAACAGGGGCAGGGCACCAGCATATCGTGGCTGCTCAGCGCCACAAAGTAGTGGGGGAGGACAGCTGCATCTGGACCCATGTTCTGGTGAGCGAAGGAGCCAGTGGGGAGTGCTCATTTTTTTTTTTTTTTTTTAATGATAAAAAAACAAAATCAAATGCAAAATTATAGATTTTTAAAATTTATTTTATTATAAGGATTGAGGCATAGGTAGGCTTCCAAATTACTTAAAAATTGTAAATATATCAATAAAACATTGTGTTCAACTGATACCTATATATATAGTGGCATTTTATTTTAATCGCAGAAACATGAGGATTTGGGTCTTTTAATTAGAGAATTTGGGATTTTTAAACAGAAAAGGAGTATCCATGATCATCAGCTATCTTAAGGGTGAGCAAAATATGGCCTGTGGCTAGATGGCCACCAACTCATTGGATCTGGCTTGCTGGTGGCTTTGGCTGCGCCATGGTGCTGGGCGGGTGGGATTGCTTCCACCCAGCAGCATTAGCCCTTGACACGGCAGCATTAGCTGTGGACCCGGACAGGGCTTCCACTGTTGGGTGGGCAGTAGTGTCGGCTGTGGGTACCACGAGCAGGTTCAAGAACCCCAACGTAGAACCTGCTGGTGGTGTCCACAGCTGAAGTTGTCGCCATCCCAGTGCAGTGGAAGCTCCCACCGAGAGCCCTGACCCATAACCTGCCAGCAGCATCAGTTGTGGACCCAGGCAGGAGCTTTTGCTACGCTGGGCAGGTGTAAACGTCAGGTGTGACACTTCTGACAGGTTCCACTTCGGGGCTGCAGAATTGTCTGGCTGCACCTATAGTTGCCATAGCTGCCTGCCCAGGGCGGCAGAAATCTCCATCTGGATCCACAGCTGAACTTCAGGGCTCCTCTTAAGCTACAGCTTGAGCTGGGCTCTGGAGAGAGGGAGAGAGGAGAGAGATGGATTTGGCTCTCAACAGGTCCCCAAAACTCATTAGGTGGCCCTCCAGCTGAAATAATTGCTCACGCCTGAGCTAACTGTCCTTCAGGTTTGGGTCTCTGCCAAGGAGATGTAGGCTTGGATATTAGCTATATACTTCTGGCATTTTAGCTTAGCTCATACTAATAGTTTCAGCTTCATATATTTAAGAGGACAGGAGAGAGAATTGATGAACCAGTGCTCCCAGCTCTGATCTATACCCTTTGCAGATTGCCCTAGAAGAAAAAAAAAATCTGCATTTATGCTTTAGGGATCAGCAACGAAAGATGGGTTATTTTAGAATATTTCTTCTTACCTACATAGTTTTTGGAGGTGGGACTAGAGAGTTTAGGGCTTAGAAATGTCTAGAGTTGCAGAGAG